CAGCAAGATCTGCCCCTCAGTCATCCCTCATCCTGTTTCATCTGCCTCCTTCTATTCTTGCCCTAGCTCACTTGACTCCAGGCACACGCAGTGTTCCTTGAACATTCCAAGCATCTTCCTACCTCAGGGCCTTTGCACTTGTCATTCCCTCACCTGGAATACTCTTTTCTCAGGTGGCCATGATTGTCTCAGATTCTCCCTTTCCTTTGGGTCTCTGGTGGCTGTCACCCTCAGCATTGAGGCCTTTCTTGGTGGCCTGCATACGGTGGCAGCACTCACCTCCCCCCGCCCCGGCACTTGTAAGTCCTCTTACCCTGCCTAACGCTTCTCCATTGCCCAGATCACCATTTGACAGATGACGGACAAACAAACAACCTGTCTTGCCCCGCTAGAAGAAGAGCTCCATCAGGGTTGGGACTTTGCAGTTTTGTTCACCACTGAATTCCCAGGACCTAACACCAGGTTCTCAAGGATGAATGAATGAAATACTGACACTCACAAAGCAGACCCCTTCCTCAAGCCTCCACTCAGACTTCCATAGCCTTCCCACCAGCCTCCTCACCTCCAGGCTCTCCTCTTTCAGCTCCCTCCTCCACACAGTAGCCAAATTGAGCACCCGAAACATCACACCTCTGGTGAACCACTCTCCTGCTCTAAAACTTCCGCTGGCTCCCCCTTGCCTCCCAGATACAGTCCCCTCGCTCTGGTCTTCTCCTTGCCCTCCCAGCCTTTGGCTTCCCTGCTCGGCTTGCTGCACCTTCTCCTCCAGCCTCATGGGATGGTGTCCTTTCTTTAAATGTGGCCTTTTCTTTTCACCTCTGTACAACTACTCATGCTGTTCCCTCCAGTTCTATTCTTCTCACCCATGTGCATTCTGCCCATGGAAATCCTATCCATCCGGAAGCCCCCTCCTCCACTGCCTCTCCTGATTCCCTCTGCCTCCTGAATTCCCACGCTCCCTTGGTATTTATCATGGGGGACTGGGGTTCTATGAGCATACACCCTCCCTTCCTGGCTGGCCTCAGCCCGTTTATGTGAACCTGCTAGTGTTGGGTCCTGGGGACACCACTGCCTCGGTTCTCGTACAGCCGGCACTGGGGCCAGTGGGGAGGGGCACCTCGGAGGAAGCCTGTAGGTTCCAGCTGGCCTCAGGGCTGGGGCTGCTTCTGCTCTGGGCCCCCTCAGGCCTAATGAGATCTGGGCTCCAGACCTGGCTCGGACCCTTACTAATTATGTCCTCTCTCTCTTGAGTCTCAGTTGCCCCACCTGTAAAATGGGGACAAGCCGACTTCTCTTACAAGTTGCTCATGTTGTTCTTGAACTTGCACCCCAGGGAACGTGCCATGCCCTCTTGTTTTTAAAGCCCACTGAGTTCCAAAGGGGTCCCTTGGCCAAGCCTGCTAGGGCTGTCTGGCTCCCGCTCCCCAGTGCCCTCGAGGGGAGAGGGCCAAATGCCCTGCCTTGCCAAGAGCTGAGGCTTCTCTCTCCAGGGGTGAGAGCTTCAGTGACAGACTGGAAGCCTGTGGGGTCTGGCTCTGTTTTTCCTCAGCACCAGGAGGCTTCCTGTTCCAGGGGACCGAAGGCTTGGAGAGGCCCTCCACAAACCCTACAGTGAAGCTTCTGGAACATCAAATGGTCTTAAAAACCAACTGATTTAATGATTTCAGTGTACATGCATTAGAGTCATATGGATTAAATTTCTCTGAAAATACACAAGGGCTTTAAAAATGGGCTGAGAAGGCTCGGCACAAGAGGAATTTGTTTTCTCTTTTCCATTTTGTGTGTCTGTGTGTGTTGTTATTGTTGCTTAAACCGAGGCATGTGACAAACTGTTCAAGATATCTGAAGCACTGTGTCCAGTGAGCTTTGCCCAGTTTGAGTTTGGAGTTGGGGCCGCCATGGACAGGAGGCGAAGGGTTAAGAAAAAAAAGTGGCATCCCCACCAGGTCTGTCCCCTCATCCTCCAGCTGTTTCCATCAGGCTCGGGAGCCCTCGACGTTCAAGGAGGCCCACAGCCTGGTAAATGGGGGCCAGGCCTCGTCAGCACCTGTGGTGGAAGACAGCTGGGGGGCCTTTTCTGTGTCTGGGCTGGGACCTGGGTATTTGGGCAGGGGCTGGGGGGTGATGTTGTTCCCCATGGGCATGTTCCTCCCTCCAGCAGAGATGGTGGTCCTCAGGAACCCCCATCCCCCTGCTAGAGTCTCCTGGGGCGCTCTTTAAAACACAGATTCCCTGGCCTCACTGCAGGCCCAGGGGATGCAGGCCAAGGTGCACCAGCTCTGCCGTGAGGGCCGGGAGCCAGGTCCACACCCAGGAAGCAGGCAGAGCCTGGGTCAGAGGGAGACTCTCAACCAAGCTGCCAGAGGCCCGATTTCAGGTTTGGCTGCTTGCTGCCTGCAAGCAACTCAATCCCCCATTTCCTGCTCTGCACATTCATATTGGGGGTATTCTTTGAGCTTGCCTAGCACCCTGAGATAGGTAAGTTCATATCCATTTTATACACGAGCAAATAAAGGTGCAGGGAGGCAGAGAGAGCATCTCCCAAGCTCTCCCTCCAAACCTCCGTCCTTGGACTGCAAACCTTTGCTCACACTTGTCTTCCCTTTGAGGTGCCTCCTGGCAGGGTGTTGAATCAACACATTCCACTGGGGCCGTCCCCATGTATCATTTCCAGCCAGCATCCCCCAAATCACACTGGTATCAACCTCTTTCCCTATGATCAGCATCCACAGAGGCTTATGTCTGAATACAACTCTTGGGATGCTGCCTACAGGACAGGAAAGATGGGGGGCAGAGAGGGAAGCAAGGAAGTAGGGTGAGCAGGGGTGTCCCTGCAGTGGGGACAGGGATTCCTGAAGGGTCCCATGTGCCCCTGATTGTTCTGCATGAGCTGCGGCTCCCTGGGGCTCCGAGGCCTCTCTCTCTGGCTCTCCCAGCCCAGCTGTAGCAGAAAACAAGCCAAGGTCAAGTGGCTCCCGTGCAATGCCCCTCCCCTTCCACGATGTACCCGGATCAGCAAACGGGACCAGGAGTTGAATCTATCCTACCTTTCTGCTCATCTAGGCCCATCCTCCAAGACCCCACTCAAACACCCCTCTTCTGTGAAGCCCTCCCAGAGACCCCAGGCACAGGGATTTCTCCTTTCAAACTCTGGCTGAGTTTCTTCTATGAGCAAGATGTTGTGCCGGGGGATGAAGATGGTGTCCAGGAGGGGAGATATGCCAGGGGCCTAAGCGACTCCTGCACAAGGTAGGGAGTGATATTGCCACCAGAAGAGAGGGCTTGGGAAGGGTCAGGCCATTTTAGGCTAGGAGAAAGATCCGGAGAGCCTCATGGGGAAAGTGGCCTCACAAAGAGGAACATAATGAACACCAGCTTGTATTTTGTCTTGTAGTACATTTTAATTATTTCAAGGATATTAGTGTGGCGTCCTCAAATGGTCTGTGAGTTATTTGAGAGTGAAACCATGCCTTACTCATACTAATATTTTGCAGAGTCTAGTGCAGTTTATTAACAGAAGCTTAATAAACAAGTATTAGTCAAAACAAATTCAATCTTGCCAAAACCAGTTCTATTCCATCCTTAACCCTTCATACCATGTACAAAGTATGGATGCTGTGCCTCTTACATTTGGGCGGGTTGAGAGAGGTTTAAATCATTAATTTGGTCTTTCAAAGCACATTCTTTCAAGCATCTACTAATTGCCAGGGATGTACCCCTTATTTTAGGAAAAAAGACAATGAAACAGGCAATCCCTCTCCAGTTTGATAAACATTATAAATAAATGAAATACGGCGGAGTTACCCTAGGGGGCAACTCATCCAGTTATGGGAAGGGATGGTCAGAGAAGTGAAATTTCAGTTGGTAAAAGAATATGAAGGAGGACTTTCAGTTCTAGCCATAAACCAACTACGAAAGCTCCATAAAACACATGGAACAACCATTTTCAGGCACCGGACAGCAATCAACACAGAGCTCAGTACTTGAGAAAAGGGAAGCACAGCAGCTAAACCCACATTCAGCCTCGCTCTCTCCATGAAGGCATTTTCCTTATTTTGGCACAGGGGACTGGAATCCAGAGAGCAGCAGTCTTGCTGGGTGGAGGAAACAGTAATTGGAGTTGGGGCTGAAACTTAGATCTGGCAGGGGCGGGCAGAAGGGAGAGAGCCACAGAGAAAGAGCCCCCAAAACTCTGCTGAAGTTTTCCCCTAGGAACCTTGGCTGACTCCTAAGCTGTGTATGTATTAGTGGGAGACTCTAGAAAATCTATTAGAGAAGAGCTGCTGGGGGAAGAGATGTTAGAGGCTGTCCAGTGCTTGGGAGATGTTGGGGTACATGCTCATTCTGAATGGAGAAATTTTAATGAATAGTGTGGGCTTTCAGTTGAGAGCCCGGAAAATCCATGTCCTAGGGATAAAGACCACAGCCTAAGAGTAAGGACAAAACAAGATGATATCTGCCCTAACCAAGGCCCAAGCCAAGCCATGGTAAGATCTAGGTGGTTTCCTCAATATTTTAATTGCCTATCAGAACAAAATGTGTAATTCTTTAAAGGAAGGTAACATAACCTAGAGCCTTTACTGTGTACCATTCACAATGTTCAACATAGAATAAAATAAAAAATTACTGAACAGGCAAAAAGAATCAGGAAAAAGTGACTGAATCATGAGATGAAATAGTCACTAGAAGCAGACCCAGAGATGATCCAGGTATTGAAGTTAGCCAAGGACTTCAAATGAGAGAAAGACAGATAGTAACTATTGGTTCTGGGATGCCTGCTACCTGTGCTGTTTTTATTCCCAGTTTTCAGATGAGAAGATCGAGGGCCTGCTATGGAATGCTTGAGGTTTCATAGTCAGGGGCAGACCCTATGCAGCCGGGACAGGAAGTCAAGTCACAGGACGTGGGGGTGTCTATATGTGAGGGCCACATTGGGCAGCTGGTAGAGGGGCTGGGTATGGGGAGGTCCAGGGCTGGGTGGGGTGGCAGCTCTCACTTACCACTTCTTGCCACCGATGTCATGCTGCTGCACCGTGTAGCCGAAGAAGGCAGCCCTAGAGCCAGTGATGATTCGAGGCTTCCTGGTGTCCATGTTGAAGGTGTCTGTGAGCCCTGGAGTGGGGAGAAGAGGGTAGTCAGGCAGGCGGAGGTGTGGGCCCCAGTGGCTTGATGGGCCCCACTGGCAGGTCTTGGCTGTGAGAGGAGTATGTTCCCCTGTCCTCGGGGGGCCCCTATATGAAATGGTTAATGTAGTCCCCACTTGGAGGAGCCCATGGTCTGATGGGAGAAGGCCCAGCCCCTGCCCTGTGAGAGCCATAATCTGATAGGGGAGGCATAAAACCTACTCCTAGGCAGACCAGGTCTGACTGGGAAAACCAGGTCCCTCCTTCTGAAGATTCCTGGTCTCATGATAGGGGTGGGGACAAGGCTGCTCCTTTCCTCCTTCACCACTCCTACCTCCAATTCTGCTTCTTCTAGTTTCTGCTCTCTTCTTCCGTTTTGTTCTCCATTTTCCCTCCTTTCTCCTCCTCCTCTCCCTCCTGTTCTTTCCTCTCTTCCTTCCTCTCATTTCTGCCTGTTAAAGAGTTGAGGAACTGACTTCCCACCTGCCTCCCAAGCTTCGGGTCCCTAATGGCCACACCTCCAACTCTGCTGGTTCACCACCGCCTTCTGGACCAATCTGTGAAGCTCTGCCTGCCTTCAGTTGGGGTCACTGCTTGGCTGGGACAGCTGATGCAAAGTAGAACAGTCCTATAACCCTTTCACCCTGGCCTCTACAGTCTGCCCTGTTCCGTTAGGTCCTATGTCAATGAACCGATTCCACCTGCTGGAGGGCCTTGGTGTTGAGCCTTTGGCATTCTTGTGCCAAATCACAACCAACAACAACTCACATCTGCATGGTAGCCTGGGTTTCTGGTTCTCCTCACATCTGTCATTATTTTCCTTCACAGAACCTTGGGAAAATAAACAAGCATCATCTATGTTTGGCAGATGGGGTTTCAGTCCCAGAGAGATTAAGAGGCTTGTCCAGGGATGCACAGCAAATCAGTGGTAGCATCAAGAACTAGGACCTCAGATGCCTGCTCTTTGACTCCTTCCCTCCATGAGGCATTTTCAGGGCATGTCTGGCCTCCTTACCCATCATCACTAACAGGAACACCAAACTTGGGACCCATGGAATTTCAGGGGTGGGATCCTACCCTCAGACCAAACATTCAGATTAGTGAAATATAATCAGTAGAATAGAATAGAATAGAATAGAATAGAATAGAATAGAATAGAATAGAACAGAATAGACAGAATATCATTGTCACCGCTTTCATGTGTAGGGGACTTAATGCATTTCAAAAAACATCTACATATATGTTACCATTTGACCTCCATGACAACCTTGTGATGTGGGTAGCAAAGGGTGTCCTACTAGACAGGGACTCTGAACGTGAGGCTTCTACCTTGAGTGTCCCACTGTCCTTCCCGTGGAGACTGAACCCCTGGGTTGAGTGTTTGATGGTGATGCCCAGGAGCACCTGCTTGAACAACACCTACTGTATGGGGACAAGTAGTTTCTTCCACACTTTCTTTTTTACTCTAAAAATGGATACAGTTTCATTATTAGAGTCATTGAATTAGAGTCCCAGAGGGAAAACTGGAACACCTTAGAGTAGGGATATTAGATGTATCTAATGTCAACTGATTATTAGTGCTGCCTAGAGCACTGAGTTAAGAAAGATTCTGAGGTCAAGTCTGTGTTCAGTGGGCAAGACTACGGTGATCCATGAGCAGTGCCTGCTAAGGATCATGGCGGCAAGTTGCTACGTAGCTGCCTATCCTGTCTTCATGATTCCTAATCTGCCACATGAATTTAGTGTCATGGCCCAGAGTGGGGGTGGGAGAAGAGGAGTACTTAACCCTTTAGTGCTTTCTTTATAAGGCACAGACCATGAACAGACTTCTCAGCCTGGTTAGCAGCAGGCAGCCTCAGGGAAGAGGACCCTGGTCTCATGAGCACAGGGGGATGAAGGAGCTCCGGTTCTTGGCCAGTAAGGGAATGTCATGGAGGAGAGAGGGACACTAGTGGCCCCTGTGCAGAGCTGGGAGGTGGGTACTGAGGGGTCAAAGAAGTGGAATTGCAGATGAAGAACTCCAAATCGTACCCATAAGTGAACACATGCACACCCATGCACGCACCCATACACACACCCATGCACACACCCATGCACGCACCCATGCACGCACATATACCTGCGTGCACACACACATGCAAAACATACAAGTCCGCGCGAGTGCACGCGCACACACACACACACATTTATATGCACAGGCCACACACGTTCCCTGATTGTGGGCAACACTTTATCTGTCTCCCTGGCGCCCCCTGGAGACACCCCATGGCTGTCTCTGGTCCTCCTCTTTCTGGATCTGACCTAGCAGCAGGAGGTGGCCCGGAATAAGAGGAAGGCACATTCTGGCTCTCAGGACCCACCCACCATTTCCAGGCCTGGAGGGCAAGGGCCAGGGGAAATGGGGCCAAAAATTGTGTCTTTGAGGTCTTCCCACTACCGGTGCTTCTTGTGTGAACATGGCCTGAGGGATCCTTCTGAGACCTGTGCGGTCCTGTCACTCCTCAGCCCCATCCCCTCCACCTGATTCCCATCCCACTCAGTCAGAGCCAGACTCCTCACCCGCAAGGCCCTGCGTGACCTCCCCCCGCCGCCGCCCCGCACTGTTCCCTCTGCCCCTCATTTCCTGTCCTTCCCTTCCATCTTTCTGCTCCAGCCATGCTTTCCCTTGTCCTTCCTGCTCAGTGTCTTTGCCCTGGCTGTTCCCTCTGCCTGGAAGGCTCCTCTCCCAGTTACCTGCATGGGTCACCCCTTATGTCACTGGCGTTCCTGTTTCAGTGCCATTTTGTCCACCACCAGGCCACCCCGTCACTCTCCAACCCCCTTCCTCATTTCTCCTGACAGCACCAGTGACATATATTTGCTTCTAGTCACGTGGCTGATAGTCAATAATATTCTTATGTTCTCTTCAGTGGCATGAGACTCTGTTGTGCCCTCACTGCTCAGACTTAGGGCCTGAATAGAGACCTAGCCCTTGGTGCATAGTCATAGGGATCGACCGATTGGATGGTTGGGGACCAGGAGCCACACGGGGCTGGGATGCCCTCTCCCCTCCACAAGGAAAAGGAGAAAGAAAAGTCTATTTACTGAGCACTGAGATGTTCCAGGCACGATCCTAGGTAGCTACCCATCAATTTTACATTCATTAGTTAAATCTCACACCAATCCTGTGAGACAGGTACCATACCTCTGGGAGGTTAAATAATTTGCCCTAATCACTCAGCTGGGAGGAGATGAGAGCAAGTCTGAGATCAAAGAGCTCAGGGCCCTGGGGTGATGTGTTACCCCTGGGGGACCAGCCTTTCATAAGAAGGACCCACTAGGGCGGAGGGAATATTCTTTTTTTTTAAATTAACATATAATGTAGTATTTGTTTCAGGGGTACAGGTCTGCGATCCATCAGTCTTACACAATTCACAGCACTCACCATAGCACATACCCTCCCCAGTGTCTATCACCCAGCTGCCCCATCCCTCCCACCCCCCACCACTCCAGCAACCGAGGGAATATGCTTTTCAGAGAAGGGGGTCCTCCCTGACCTCTGCCCTCAGGTGCCACGTGCTCTGCCTTTGGGGTCTGCTGGGAGAAGCGCATGGAGAGAAGGCATTCTTCCTGTGCTCCTCGCCTCACTTGGGAGTCTGTCTAGGACCAGTCCAGTCTCTCCCCCCACCCGCACCCTCAACCTCCAGGGGACAGGATGGGTGAAGCTGGCCGCAGGGAAGAAGACAAAAGCCCTCAGGGCCAGGGCTTGCCGCTCCTCTGCCCTGGGTATTGATGACAGAGTGGGGAGACCCACAAAGCTTGGGCTGCTCTCCGGTGGACTGAGGCCAAAGTTACATCAGCTGCTGCTCCCTTTTTCAAAAGCGTATCTGTCTTTTTAAAAAGCACCCGTCAACCTTCTGCATGGAGCACGGGGTGTTATGCACAAACAATGAATCATGGAACACTGCATCAAAAACTAATGATGTCATGTATGGTGGTTAACATAACAATAAAAAAATTATTAAAAAAAAAAGCACCCGTCAGTCCCAAGGAGGGATGGCAGCCACGGCCCTGGGCTCGAGCACCCCTCCAGGCTAAGGTGAAGGCCACTGCCCAGCTACCAGGTGGGGCAGTCCCAGTCCCAAACGCTGAGGCACCCTGGCCAACACAACGTCCACAGCTACTGCCAGTCAACAGCTCCATGGGGAACGCTCACTCTAGCCTAGGGGGCGGCTGCCGTGCGCCCACACTGTGTGGGTCCATTTTCACTGCTCGCCCCCGACCCCGGCCTAGCCCTGTCCCAAATCCTCCACGCAGTCCCAAGGCCTCTGCAGACTCATCTTGGGTGAGTTTTCCTCTGGCTCCCTGAGGGGCAGCCCCTTTCTGCGCCCCAGATACCCCTTGCTTCCTCCTACCCTGGGGCCTTTGCACCTGCTGCTTCCTCTGCCTGAGTCTCTCTGACGAATTTCTCATCACCCGCAAATCTCAGCACAAATGTCACATCTCCCCCACACCCCCAGAAGCCTCCCTGACCCCCGATGACGCCAGGTCTTGCCTAAGGATCTCATCGCCTCTTATACTCGCTAATAGGTGATGGGTGACTTCTTTTCTTATCATAGTAACTAGACACAGCCGGTGTGAGTGTTTGACTGCTCCTGTCTTCCCATCAGGATGGTGGCGCCGTGAAGGCCAGATGGGGTCGGTTCACTCACTGCTGGATCCAGCGCCCAGCCCAGGGGCTAGCCCCAAGCACCACTGAGGGGTGAGCCAGAGGAGAAGAGAGTAGGGAGCCCACCAGCTAGGGAGAGGCACGTGGAGAGTAAGTGCAAGGCTGTGACCACAGAGCCATGGTTGTTAGGGAAGGCAGGGAGTGCTGTGGGCTGGCGGGGGTGGGTGGGAGTCAGGAAGCTTCTGGAGCTGTGATCTCAGCCTGGAAAGGTGATGCATAAACCTTGGTAAGGTGGTAGGCAGGAGTTCCTAGTGCAAAAGGAAGGAGAAGAGGAGAGCTTG